AAAAGGTTATTTTTTATTTTATTTTTTTATGTGAACGTGACTTGGAGATTAAATTTGGCCTGAACGGCATTTCAGACAAATTCAGACCACTCGGCTTAAATTCCAGAGCCTATATAGTGCCTATATAGTGAGACGAAGTGGTGGTAGAGGAAAAAATGGGGGATAACCCCTAAATTGTAGTAGCAGGTGTCTCCTGGTTAGATATTTAGTTACATAATTGACAGAGAAAAGCCTTGTCACCGTAACAATTGTTACTAATAAAACTTAATGTTTAATGTTATTTGATAGAAAGAAAAAGGAAAAAAAAATAATGTAGAAGAAATAAATCAATAAAATAAAAGCAAAAAGCAGGATATTCAATCCTATTATTATCTGTGATAGATCTTGCTTTCTCAGTGCAGAGAGAACATGTCTGCTATTTAGCAGAAATAAAATAAGTATCAGAGTTAGGTTTGTTAGTATTCAGTGGTACCAATATATACAAATATTTACAATGTAGGCTCAAGGTTAACTAGACAATTCTGCAGCAAGGGTTTAGTGTTTCGTCCTAAATGCCTCTTTTTGTAAAGCACATAGTAATGCTTTTATCCCTACTGGTAAACCTAATTATAAGTGAGATAGATGAAAGCTGAATTGTTGATAATAGTACTGTGACCGAGAGTCCCAATCAGTGGTAGATCACCAAGGTCTGTTAGGACTTCTTAGTAAGCTTGTGCCTAGACCGGCATCTTTGGTGCGTGCTGTGACAGGCTGGACTAATAAAATCTAATGTGCCTTTGTGGGCACCCCTTAGATAAAGCCTACTCTACCACTTAGACCCCCAGTGTGCAGCAAGATTGAGTGAGGTTAAGGGAAATTGATTTATAATCCAGTGACACGATGCCTGTTCAGAAACAAGTTGGGTTTGAATTAGAGTAACGTCAGTGTTAGTACAACACGTGGATATTGCCGGGTCGGATATTTCTTTTGGTAGATTTTGTTTCTAGATTTTGGTAGATTGTTTCTTTTTTGTTTTTTCTCAACAAATCTTATACTAAAAACCCACAAACACCTTAGAGCAATAATGTGTTTAATTATACTTAATTATCATATAATTAATTATATTATCCTTCTGGCTTTAAATCTACATCATATTAATTGTTAAACTGTATAACATTATCTGGATAATAATTGGTTAAAGAATAAATAACATAGAATTACGTACATCCAGTTAAACAGTTGTGCCCTAGCTTACTAATGAAAATATGATCATATATGTAAACTATATAGCAAAGTGTCATCTGTTTATGGACCATTACAAAATAGAATGTCTGGTCTACTGTTCTTACCTGCCATGGTTTAAAATGCTGAATGTCAGGGCAACTTCCATTATTATATTGTCCTTTGTTTTCTTGGCAGTTTTGCATGTCGTGCAATGATTTTGCTATGACATGGATTGTGTTATAAAGGTTGTAGGCAGCATTTAACGTTTGCACATCTTTGAACATATATTCAATACTTTCTTTACTCTCATTTCCTGTACACGGTTTGGAATTATTCAACGAATCTGTGAGAATTGTTTGGTCAAAAAATTGACACCCAAATGCCCTTTCCCAGAATATTTTAGTCCACGGATCCTCTCTGGAACTAAAGGGACGAATATTGTCCAAGAACTCTCTAAATCCTGGGATTGTTGATTCATGAAAAGAGAATCCAATTGTTCCAGAGAGTAGTGAAGAATATTTGGCCGTTGTAAACAAGTTTGAAATTGACCAAGCTTCACTGGCCACAAAGATTTTACCTGTTATATTTTGCCTCAGCATCTCTTCCAAAAATAGAATGTTGTCAAGATCTTTAATAAGAGAAATGACAGCTTTGGCAGTTGATTCTTTGATAATTTTTGTCACATAGGAAATGTGTTTCAAATTATTTGTTGTTATATATTCTGCGAATGTTACACAAGCTTCAACCTTGAGGATTTCCTCTTTAATGAACTTCATTGCCTCACGTCCATAGTCATCGTCTACAGCCACTATCCCAATCCAGGTCCAACCAAAGTGTAACACCAGCTGTGCGAGACCCTTGCATTGTAAGGAATCACTTGGGACGGTCCTGAAGAATGTGGGGAACTGTGTTTTGTCGCTCAGGAGAGGGCTGGTTGACAAATAGCTAATCTAAAGAGAAAACAAGATAGCATTTACGTGTTATTCCTCCAAATTTACCTAAAATATTTAAAACAACTGAATTGATGTGAGTACATACATGGACAGCCAATTAATTCCATTAATATGCAATGTGATCTTCATGACAAAACTTGGAAGGCATTTACTATAGACATGTGCATTTGCTTTCAAATTAATTGCAATTTGTCAGACATTTTGGGTAATAAGTGATTTGTCCGGAATTCCAACTGTCATATGAAGAAATCATAAAACAATTCAATGGACAATGAGTAATCCGTCTGTTTCATGATTCAGAGTTCCAACCATGGAACCAAACAAAAAAATAAAGCATGATTGATAATTAAACGTTGATTTTATTCTAAGATCCAGTGACCAATAGCAGGAAATTTAAAAAAATAAATAAATCTATATTTGTTTATAAATGATATATTTGATAAATATATAACACTATAGATTGTTTTACTGTTCCACCATTTCCCCCCTCATTGGTTACTTCTTTTAACAATAAACCAAAGCTGAATGAAATGGTAAGAACTTTTGCCTTTCAATGTACTGCAACATGTATACATTTTTTTATTTTAGTTATTTTTTTGTGCAATTTTGGTTTGTCCAAATTGTTTTCAGAGGGAAAACAATCCAAATGACATGACTCAAAGTTTTGGGGTCAAATCAATTTGGGCAAATCACATTTTTCCACTGTGTCAAGTTTAGTTTATAATGTCATAGATTTTATCTTCAATATTTATCGGCCTATGAACTTAAGTATTTTAACACAACAAATTCTTGATACAAGTGATGCAAAGTATGTCATAGGTGCTTATACTTCTTACCTGTGGGTATCTGTATAAACTCAATATGCGGGCATTTAGAATAGAGAAGGTAGAGGTGACATGACCAATAATTGAAGACATTGGAGGCATTTGTTTGCAAGAAAAATTTGGGATTCCTTCAGCCTGGCCTGTCAGCAGCTTCAGGGTTCCATCCAGCTCTTGATGAAGTCCAGTACATGAGTCATATATCTGAAATCCCAACGTTAGATTTGGGAGCAGAGTGGGGCTCCTGTTGATTTCATCTAAAGCAAATCTCATGGCGGAAAACTGCAAATATCGTTGATACCTAAAACTAAGTGGGACATTGAATATATTTTTTATTATAAAGCAGAAACATAGACAAGAAAGGGAAAATGCACAGATAATCAAAAGCTGGCTGAATAATGAATGACTGGAATAAGAAGGGACTAAAGTGGAGACAACACAGATCAAATTACTTTTTAATCACATATTATACACTACCTATTTAAAAAATAAAAAAAACTGGAAACATTATAATGAGATCTGTAATATGGAATTAAGTGAAAGTGGAAATAACAACAATAAAACCAATTATAACAACAACAAAACAAAAAAAACCACAAAAAAAGAAACCAAGAGACATATGGACAGTGTGTCAGTGTAATGCGTGAATGGATAAAATCAAATATATAGAAAAAAAGTGCAAGCATAAAAATCATATTTCAAATACTTACAGTATACATGGTTCATTTCTAGGAGGCTTTGTAAAAAGGATTTTATTTGTGTCCATATATTTATCAAAATAAAAGGGGAGCATTGCACCCATCAATACATCTCCGTCTTCTAAATGTCCAGTCAAATCAGATCCATCCAGTCTGCACCCCAAGTGTTGGTTAAAGGAGGTCGGTAGGAGGGAACACGAGACAAAGTGCCACATCGACCAATAGACAACCGTTTTCATTTTCACAAAGTCAAAGCTGTAATCTCTTTGTGGAGCAAAATGTGAGAAGTCCTACAAAGAATGTATAGACATATGGTATCAGTGTAATCAGAAAAAAACAGTGTAAGTAAGGTTAAACCAAGAGTTTTTCTGTGCACCATTTCCAGTTTGGAGTGTCTAAAAGTATTGTATTATACGTCCAGTTACAGGGTGGTCTAGATGCAAAATGCCCTGTCAAACGCCAAATAACCATCGCAAAAGACTAATGTTAGGCTTCTCGTTGGCCTCATATCTAGGGTATATATACTGTTTTGCCTCTGATATGTCTTAACACACCACTCAACATGTCGGTTATAATGTATCATAGCATAGCAGTCACTTCTTGGATGTGGAGAAACATCAGGTTCTTGCCACAAATCATCAAGCTACTCTTGGGAAGAAAAAGTTATATATACAGGGAGTGCAGAATGAGTATTTTGACCACATCATCCTCTTTATGCATGTTGTCTTACTCCAAGCTGTATAGGCTCGAAAGCCTACTACCAATTAAGCATATTAGGTGATGTGCATCTCTGTAATGAGAAGGTGTGTGGTCTAATGACATCAACACCCTATATCAGGTGTGCATAATTATTAGGCAACTTCCTTTCCTTTGGCAAAATGGGTCAAAAGAAGGACTTGACAGGCTCAGAAAAGTCAAAAATAGTGAGATATCTTGCAGAGGGATGCAGCACTCTTAAAATTGCAAAGCTTCTGAAGCGTGATCATCGAACAATCAAGCGTTTCATTCAAAATAGTCAACAGGGTCGCAAGAAGCGTGTGGAAAAACCAAGGCGCAAAATAACTGCCCATGAACTGAGAAAAGTCAAGCGTGCAGCTGCCACGATGCCACTTGCCACCAGTTTGGCCATATTTCAGAGCTGCAACATCACTGGAGTGCCCAAAAGCACAAGGTGTGCAATACTCAGAGACATGGCCAAGGTAAGAAAGGCTGAAAGACGACCACCACTGAACAAGACACACAAGCTGAAACGTCAAGACTGGGCCAAGAAATATCTCAATACTGATTTTTCTAAGGTTTTATGGACTGATGAAATGAGAGTGAGTCTTGATGGGCCAGATGGATGGGCCCGTGGCTGGATTGGTAAAGGGCAGAGAGCTCCAGTCCGACTCAGACGCCAGCAAGGTGGAGGTGGAGTACTGGTTTGGGCTGGTATCATCAAAGATGAGCTTGTGGGGCCTTTTTGGGTTGAGGATGGAGTCAAGCTCAACTCCCAGTCCTACTGCCAGTTCCTGGAAGACACCTTCTTTAAGCAGTGGTACAGGAAGAAGTCTGCATCCTTCAAGAAAAACATGATTTTCATGCAGGACAATGCTCCATCACACGCGTCCAAGTACTCCACAGCGTGGCTGGCAAGAAAGGGTATAAAAGAAGAAAATCTAATGACATGGCCTCCTTGTTCACCTGATCTGAACCCCATTGAGAACCTGTGGTCCATCATCAAATGTGAGATTTACAAGGAGGGAAAACAGTACACCTCTCTGAACAGTGTCTGGGAGGCTGTGGTTGCTGCTGCACGCAATGTTGATGGTGAACAGATCAAAACACTGACAGAATCCATGGATGGCAGGCTTTTGAGTGTCCTTGCAAAGAAAGGTGGCTATATTGGTCACTGATTTGTTTTTGTTTTGTTTTTGAATGTCAGAAATGTATATTTGTGAATGTTGAGATGTTATATTGGTTTCACTGGTAATAATAAATAATTGAAATGGGTATATATTTGTTTTTTGTTAAGTTGCCTAATAATTATGCACAGTAATAGTCACCTGCACACACAGATATCCCCCTAACATAGCTAAAACTAAAAACAAACTAAAAACTACTTCCAAAAATATTCAGCTTTGATATTAATGAGTTTTTTGGGTTCATTGAGAACATGGTTGTTGTTCAATAATAAAATTAATCCTCAAAAATACAACTTGCCTAATAATTCTGCACTCCCTGTATTAAAAAAAAAAAAAAAAAAACCCTATTCAGTCAGGAAACAATAAACCAGAATGCTTTTATAATTGCCCCCTTACTCTTCACATCCCTCTACTTTATGGGATTCACTGTAGTAGATGCCATTTTTTATGAGAAGTGAGCGAGTCTTCTCTTTAAGTGTGTTAACCTGAAATAGCCCCAGGTTAAAGATCCACAGCACTCAGCCATGTTTCTGAAAGCTGTATTAGCAGTTACAGTGACTGTCACCAAACATACAATTTATCTAATCTGCTTCTATATTGCTCTCTTTGTTTAAATCTTGTTTTTTTTTTCTTTTTTATAAAAATGTTTTACCAGGAATAATACATTCAGAATTCTCGCATTTTTAAGTATGTCCTGGGCCCACAAACACTGCATGTTTTTTTTTTTAATATTATTGATACACAACACATACATGGATTGAAAACAGAACAGGTGAGACATATAATCAACCATGACTATAGGTGCATTCTGTATTAAGATATTTTGAGAGAGATCTTTTAAAGGATTTTAGACTGGAGGAAGATTTGATTGTGTCCACAAAGTTATTCCATATATGCAACAAACAAAGTAAACTGAGTGGCATAATCCCACTCAAGTAAACCCAGTGGAGTGCTGACCCTGCACTGAAGTTATTCCATAATTGCGGAAGTCTGTAAGAAAATGAGGATCAAGCCACTTTATTTTTGTATTGAGGTAGACTTAATAAAGTGCTAGTACTGGATCGGAGATATTAGGAGGTGGGAACAGTTGAGGAGAGCATTCTGCTCATGTAGAGTGGGAGCGTACAGCATGCAGAGCGTCCATAGGAAAGCTGACGTCGGTGGGGGAGGAGAGGTCATCAGCGCCAAGGGATGGGGGCCGTGAGGATGGGGGCACCCTTAGGGCACTATAGTGTCAGGAAAACCGCTTTGTTTTCCTGACACTAAAGTGAACCTTTAATGCAAGTAAGGGAGGATATTAATTGCATTAGCTGCAACGTTTTAAAAAGCGAACAAGATTTATTATTTTTTAGGATTCAGCCAATCAATATTAAAATCTCCAAAAACCAACAGTTCACTTTTTTAGGTTTGTTATAGTAACACAATGCTTGCATTGCATCGATTTTAGGGAGTAGGTTGTGGATGTTAAAGTGCACAAAGGCGAAGCCTTTTTTAGTAGGGAGGCAAGTAATTTAATCTATCTTCTATTCGTACTCCTACCTCTGATGCTCGCCTTCTAGACTTCTCTAGGAAGTGGAATTCCCTTCCCTTTTGGTTAGATGCTTACCCAGTCTCCATTGCTTCAAAAAATAATTAAAAGCCTCACTTTTTCACAAAAGCATATAAATTAAGCTGATAATGGCTCCCAACTGATTCCTCACCAGCAACTGTAATTTTAAAAAAAATACACTAAGTCTTTAGTGAATACTATTCTACCAATCTATTTTCCTAATACTACCCTTACCTTTTCTGTCACTATAACCCATTCCCTCTAACATGTAATCTCACTGAGCAGGGCCTCAATCCCTCTGTTATTGTGTCACTATACCCCACTCCCTCTAACATGTAAACTTACTGAGCAGGGCCCTCAATCCCTCTGTTACTGTGTCACTATACCCCACTCCCTCTAACATGTAAACTCACTGAGCAGAGCCCTCAATCCCTCTGTTACTGTGTCACTATACCCCACCCCCTCTAACATGTAAACTCACTGAGCAGGCCCTCAATCCCTCTGTTACTGTGTCACTATACCCCACTCCCTCTAACATGTAAACTCACTGAGCAGGCCCTCAATCCCTCTGTTACTGTGTCACTATACCCCACTCCCTCTAACATGTAAACTCACTGAGCAGGGCCCTCAATCCCTCTGTTACTGTGTCACCATACTCCACTCCCTCTAACATGTAAACTCACTGAGCAGGTCCTCAATCCCTCTGTTACTGTGTCACCATACTCCACTCCCTCTAACATGTAAACTCACTGAGCAGGTCCTCAATCCCTCTGTTACTGTGTCACTATACCCCACTCCCTCTAACATGTAAACTCACTGAGCAGGACCTCAATCCCTCTGTTACTGTGTCACTATACCCCACTCCCTCTAACATGTAAACTCACTGAGCAGGCCCTCAATCCCTCTGTTACTGTGTCACTATACCCCACTCCCTCTAACATGTAAACTCACTGAGCAGGCCCTCAACCCCTCTATTACTGTCACTATACCCCCTCCCTCTAACATGTAAACTCACTGAGCAGGCCCTCAATCCCTCTGTTACTGTGTCACTATACCCCACTCCCTCTAACATGTAAACTCACTGAGCAGGGCCCTCAATCCCTCTGTTACTGTGTCACTATACCCCACTCCCTCTAACATGTAAACTTACTGAGCAGGGCCCTCAATCCCACTGTTACTGTCACTATACCCCACTCCCTCTAACATGTAAACTCACTGAGCAGGGCCTCAATCCCTCTGTTACTGTGTCACTATACCCCACTCCCTCTAACATGTAAACTCACTGAGCAGGCCCTCAATCCCTCTGTTACTGTGTCACTTTACCCCACTCCCTCTAGCATGTAAGCTCACTGAGCAGGGCCCTCAACCCCTCTGTTTCTATGTGTCAAACTTGTCTGGATACAATTAAGTTTGTTAGTCCACCCATTGTAAAGCACTATGGAATTTGTTGGCACTAAATAATAATAATAATAATAATAATAATAATAATAATAAAAATAATAAGCTGGAGGACCAGAGTTAAACTCCACATCATTTACAAGGGCAAGTAGCATGAGAAAAAGGAATTTGGATATCATATTTCTTCGTATTGGTCGTATTGTGAGTGGCAGGTTCTATAACTTGTGAGGTGGAGGTAGGAGTACTGCATTTTAAGACTCTCAACCAGCACTCAGCAGATAGGTTACAACAGAGCAGGCCATGGTGTATACATATTTGTTTTCCAGTTTCAGGTGTGTGGTGCTTATTGGGAGAAGTGATGTGAACACGATTGGAGTGAGCAAAAATATGAGCATGGTCATATTTGGATTCATGTTAGTGGTTTGACAGAAGGGGTGGAGATGAAAACTAATTAAAAAAATATTAAAATAATATAATATAATAGAATTTTTTTTTTTTAAACAGTTATATTTGCAGTGGTAGTAATACTTACAGGACAAATCTGGCTAGGCAAGGAACACAAACATAAATGCAGCAGGCACAACAGTGTGAAGATGATGATGATGATGATGATGATGATGTTGTTTGGAGAGCCGTCTGCGGTTTTCCTCCTTGTGTCCTCCTTGGTTAACTCCCTTGGTAAATTCCTATGATTCAGGGTACTTATTGGAAATTCACACGTGCAGTGGTTAATTGATATCAGAGCCAGAGTTTAACCTGCGGATGAGAGTATAGGGATGCCTAATTAGTTCACAATAGTCCAGGTGTGTAGAGAAAGCTAAGATGCTGTTTAAGTTCCCTTGGTAAACTCCTATGATTCAGGGCACTTATTGGAATGTGGCCTGTGCTCCCTTTGGTCATTCGCTCCCTCGTGCATTAACTAAATAGGGATACCCCTTAGTCTAGAGCTAGACATTTGTCTTAATTGACCCCAATAAAGTTTGACACATGAGATGGGAGGGATTGGAGAACTAGCAGGAAAAATATATTATTATTATTATTATTATTATTATTATTTATAAAATGGTAACGAATTCTGCAGTGCTGTACAATGGATGGACTAACAGACACGTATTTGTAGCCAGACATGTTGGATGCACAGAAACAAAGCTGTAACGGCACCCTCAGCATAAAAGGCTTAAACCGCCGTTTAGTAGATCTTCTCCTTCCAGAGATACAGGCACAGCTACTGCAGAACACCAAACTCCTGAACTGCATACAAGGGAATGCTCCAAACTCCCGAACTGCATACAAGGGAATGCTCCAAACTCCTGAACTGCATACAAGGGAATGCTTCAAACTCCCGAACTGCATACAAAGTAGCACTCCAAACTCCCGAACTGGAACCTCACGAATAGCTGCTAGCAGACGAACAGAAAAAGCACCCAGGCGGCTTACACTCCTGGCAATCAGTCTCTAACAGCATACAGTAAATCCCCCCCAAAGACGAGACAGAGCTCCGTGTTGGGGGTCAAGCAGTGGTCTGGTTTATTGAGGACTACCTGCCCAGTATTTATGCAGGTCTCCCAGCTGGTGGACACTCCATTAGGGGACCAAATGGGAGACTGTGACAAAGGACAGACATGAACCAATGACAGACACACAGAGGTAAAACATCCCCACAATGCATCCTAATTTCCCTCCCTCTGTCCTGGAGATA